CCCCAAAACCCCAAAACCCCAAAACCCCGTTGAAAAAAATAAAATTGTGTGATATGAATTATAAAATTTGTAAAAATATCAAATTTATGACTAGTATTTTCTCCATTGCAGATTTAGAATAAAAATAACTAGATCACTCATATGGTTTAAAGCTTTACAATAATTCTTTTCATTTTCTTTACTTTGTTCAAATCAAACTTGCAGTTGGCCTTGAGATAGGAATAATTATACATTCTCGTTATGCAAATCCTTTAAAGGTTTATGCTTTTAAGACTTGGGTTGGGAATAAATAGATGCCTAAGATTATATTGTGCCTCTCCGCTTTTATTTTTTCAAACTGTTTTGTGATTTTTACTCCTCTGTTAAAAGATTTTCATCAATACTCTATATTTTTAATTATTTAAAAGCGTTGCAATTAAGAGTTATTTACAAATTCAGGAGTCTGTATAGATTCTTCATCTCGCAATTTTTTCCTAAATGGTGGTAGCCCATCATAATCAGCCATGTCTTGCAAACTGATTTCAGGTTGACTATCAAGTTCTCTTCTGATCAGCCCTTTCTTCACTTTTTTCCTGAAAATCCATTGTGTGCATGCAGCTATCATAAGGATAAATCCACAGCTAAATCGGAGAATGAATCTTAAAAGTCGAATAAACAGAAAGACCTCAATAAATTTCAAACAACCTAGTAAGTGCTTATCATTGTTATGTTCCTGCTGTATCTGTGGCCATATTCCAAAGATCATCATGACAATCTAGACCCTAGTACAGAAGTTATTGAAATAATCAAAACTTTCAGAACTACTTACAAGTGATGATAGTTCTCAGCAATAGCTGCTTTCATCCGAATATATTTGTCCTTTATCTGCCCTTAAATATTGTACCTTATAATGATTGAAGTCACGCAACTAAGCAGAAGCGATATCTGCCAAATAAGAGTCACAATATTGTCTTCTAATCTCTCAAATTCATCACTTATGAATGACAGTAATATCAAAAACATCTGGTTAATATGATAAGATAAAAGATAGAAATATTTGAAAGAGAATAGTAGAAGTCGAGAAAAAGATGCTATTTAGAGGTATACTTACAATTAGCACATCCCCTAGGATAAAAAAGTAGTTCATGATATAGATCTAATTAATTTTCTTTGGATCTGATAGTTTGAAGCCCTCTCTCTAATTCACCTAATCCTTGTAATTCGTCCGATGTAATCCCTCAGCTGTGTTGTCGTAATAAGGCTATTAAGGAGGGTTAGTAAAGATGCAACGGAATTATATTTATTACACTTCGAGCTAGAAAGAAAATGAGTGAAACTATAGGCGATCTAGTGAGAGGATCATTCATCGTTTAAAATTATTAAAGTCATTACTTTATTTTTTAATATGGAATTTAATTTTAATAATATTATTAAGTTGCTTGATCAAATTCTTATTATTGTACCTTCGTGGGGTTTTGGGGTTTTGGGGTTTTGGGG